TCAGTGCTGTTAGGGGTGGTGAGAGAAGCACACAACATCCCTTTTTACGAGTGATAACCCCCTCACTGTCATCCATCACTGAAGCCTTCCTCCTTGCTCAGGTCAAGGTGGGGAGCAAGCCCATCCATCCTGGAGGAGCATACGGGGCGACTTTAGATGACTGGCATCAGTTCTGCAGGTTGCTCCTCCAGTTCCAGGGCATCATATCCGTCCTGTGTCATGTATATTGATTGTAGCCTTCCTCGCAGAGAAGCTGGCTCACAACTAGGGTACCAGCACAATTATTTTGGCCCCTGCCTGTTGAGAGAGGACAATGAGAGAGTGACAGAGGCTGTGTGAAGGTGAAACAGAGACTTGATCTGCAGTGGCTACTTGTCTCATTTGTCCTGGTTACCTACAAGGCTCTGTCTGCAGTGACACAGGTCACCTTGTGCCTTTTGATTGCCAGTTTAGGAGAGGCTGCCTGCAGTGGCAGATTTGAGTCCCAATCACTGACAAGATTTCTAATGGTGGGTAAGGGGAGAATGGGGAGTCAGACCAGAGCACAGATACTGTGTGGCATATTCCAAAATTGGGTCTTGGAAATGGCCAAGAGGTACATGAAAAGATGCTCAACATCATTAATCATGAGGGAAATGCAAATCAAAACCATAATGAGATATCACTTCATGCCTATTAGAATGGCTATTATCAAAAAGATAAGAGTCAAGTGTTGGTGAACCTGTGGAGAAAAAGAACTCTTGTGGACTGTTGAAGGCAATGTAAATTGGTGCAACCATACGAAAAATAATATGGAAATTCCTCAAAAAATTAAAAATAGAACTACTATATGATCCAGCAATTCTACTTCTGGGTAGATAACCAAACAAAATGAAATTACTGTCTTGAAAAGAGATCTGTACCCCCATGTTCATTGCAATACTATTCACAATAGCCAAGACATAGAAACAACCTAAGAGTCCATCAACATATGAATGCATAAAGAAAATGTGATATATATTTACAATGGAATATTATTCAGTCATAACAAAGAAGAGAATTCTGCCATTTACAACAACATGGATGGACCTTGAGGGCATTATGCTAAGTGAAATAAGTCAGACAGAGAAATACAAATACTGTAGGTTCTCCCTTATATGTGGAATCTAAAAAAAGTCAACCTCAAAGAGATAGAGAATAGAGTTGTGGTTGCCAGGGGCTGAGGGGTAGAGGAAATGGGAAGATGTCAGTCAAAGGGTACAAACTTCCAGCCAGAAGAAGAACAAGTTCTAGGAATCTAATGTAGAATGTGATGACTGTAATTAACAATACTGCCTCATATACTTGAAAGTTGTTAAGGGAGTAGATCTTAAAAGTCATCACTGCACACAAAAATATTGTAATTATCCAAGGGGATGAAGGTGTCAACTAACCTTATTGTGGTAATCATTTTTTGCAATATATATATATATCAAATCATGTTGTATGCCTTAAACTTACATATGGTATATGCCAATACTGTCTTAATAAACGTGGAAAAAGCTTGGGTCTTGGTAGCCTATCTCTCCCTCACCCTTGCATTCAGAGTAGCTCATCAAACATTCATGGAATGTCTTCATTGTGATAGGCACTGTACTGAGTGTTGGGGACCCAGATACAAAGAAGACAGACTCCCACCCTTCAGGAGAGTTTGAATTCATGGATGAGTTCTCTGTATCTCTGTGTCTAATCAGTCTTCATCCTTTCAAAATCTCTTGAATCACTCACATCTTTTCCATCCCCTCTTGGAAGCTTCATCCTCCATGGTCCTCCCTGGGCTTTGTTTTAGGGCAGCATTACTCTCTCTCTGTCATGGTCGGGTGGGTCCCTCTCCCCTGATGCTTTTGTTCAAGAGTGTATGATGAAAAGAGGCATGTGTTTTCATCCCTGAGTTCTCATTGCTCCTCTCAGGGAGTGGGTGTTCAGAGGAAGTGGTTCAAGTGATAAATCTCAAAGCTTGTGTCCATCTCACCTTCTTTCATTCAGTGTCATTTCCAAGTCAGGACAGAGGAATCTCAGGCAAGACTTGACTTCAGACGAAATTCTCTGGTGACGGAGACCTTGATGCCAGGAGAGGGGAGATTGTTCAGGGCCCAGGTCTGCCTCTGATTTTCGCTTTGTATGAATCATCTGACTTTTCTTGGCTGCTAGTTATATCTGCAAAATTTTCTCACTTCCATTGTGGAGTGGGCATGATAAGACATAGACAAACCCACTTATGGCTTGGTAAATTCTTATTTTCATACATAGATTCATCTGACAAACATTTATTGGGCACCAACTGTCTAAGAGGCTCCTCCCATGAAACTTTGCATATGGAATCTCCATTGCTCCTATCAAAGTGCTTACTCTCCAATCAATAAATCTTCTGCTCTCCCGTCCCCATGCTCTTCCCTCTGCTTGGCAGGCATCAACCCCTGCCCAACCCCTCTGCCTCTATTTTTATTTTTTTTCCCTAAATGCTCAGTTTCTTTTTGGGCTTCTCGACTGTTATCTCCTCTGTGAAGACTTTTTTAGATCCTCTTTTTTCCACTCCCAGTGGAGCTCTGGTGGCACTCCATTTCTTCTCTCCAGTGGCACTTATGTGCTCAGTGCAGTTAGGGACCTTCATGTCTTACCCTCCTACTAGACCATGGGGTCAGTAAGAGCTGGCTCCCCCATAGGATTTAGCACTGAGCCTTACCCATCGAAGATGCTCAGCAATGAGTGTTGCACTGATTTATCCCTGCTTCCTCCTAGGACAGTCTACAGCAGTAGCACTCAAACATTTTGGCCTCAGGACTTCTTTGCATTCTTTAAAGTTACTGAGGACTCTAAACGTTTCTGCTTATATAAGTTATACCTACTCATATTTACTCTATTAGAAATTAAAACTGAGATGTTTAAAAAAAATCACCAATTCATGTATTTTCAAAAGAAAGATATCTTATTTTACATTTTTGTAAATCTCTTTAAAGTCTTGAGACTTGTCATTTTTCTTATCTTCTATTATATTCAATCTGCAATAATATGTTGTTTAGTTACAGTAGATGAAGGAAATTCTGCCTTAAACATACATGCAGAAGGGGTGGAATATTTAAATAATAGTGTTTTCAGATAATTGTAGATCTTTTCCTTTGCTACTACATCAAAAGTTCAGTATGTGGTGGTTTCATAAAGTTAGTAGCACTATGGAATCTGGAACCAATTTTGTACTCAGATATGTTAAAATCTACTAATCTATCTCGCATTTTAAGTGGACATTTTGCCACTGCATGGTTTTGTAACACCATGCATTGGCCATTTGGAAAATATTGGTTTACTGATGTATACTGATCTTTTAAATGTTGACACATTTCATCCTGAAATTCAAATAGTCACAGTTGTTACTATCACCATGGACCTAATCAGAAAAGTTTTAAGTATTGTGAAGCAGTGAAGTTTATGCTGGTGGATACACATTTTCCAACACTCTACATTTTGATCGAAAGCTTGAATGTATGATTGGCAAAAGGCATTGTCAATTTTGCCCTTGAAGTGACATCCTCACTTCGTTCATTATTAAGAAAACATCTGCCAAATACTGAGGTTTAAACAACCACAGTTTGTCAGCCCTTCTCTCAGGTAAAATTAGAAAAAGCAACTGGTGTAGCTCAGTTAGATCATATCACTACTTTTCCCTGAGACAATTATTATAATTAGGTAGGCAGCAAAAGTGCTTTACACACATTTCTCCTTTTGTCATGGAATAGAAAAAGATGTGTACTCAAGGTCCTAAGTTTAATAAAAAACAATTCTAACTGCTTCCTTAAAGGCATTCTTAAGGAAATTTATTTTTTTTAAAAAGTGTTGTTTGAAAAAAACATAGCAATGAAGATGACAGCGACGATGAGTCCAGTTTGCTTTCAATGCCCTGATATGTGCTAAGACCTCAGAAATTCGTCCTCACTGTGTTTTCTGTACCATTGATTCAAATATTGACACGGTGAAAATGGTAGATACTCTTAGCATTATGGTGAAAACAACTTTGACCTTGTAGGCCCTCTCAAAGAGTCTCAAAGTCCCTCAGGGGTCCTTGGATGATACTTTGAGAACCACTGATCTACAGGATTGGCATCTATATTTTGCCCCCCTTATATATGCATCTTTACTAGGAATGAAGAGACTCATTTGTGCTAGACCTCTACTGAAGATCTCGGGGAGAGAGATTTTTATCCTAGATTTGACTACTTTCTGCAATTTCATTCTTTCCTTGGTTTACACATTACATCTTTGGATTCAACAGGACCTGGTGACCTATTCAGAGGACCCCAGAGCTAAGACTTATCAAGTGACCGAGTGCCTGAGGCACATGGCGCATAAAAGAGTGGGGTCAGAGAAAGCACGGAGGAAACAAGGTTTGGAGAGAAATAACAGGAAAGACCTAAGGAGAGAAGGCAGGAAGGGAAAAAATGAAGAAAAAGACAGTAAGTGGAAAGAACAGAAGACAAAGGGAAGAGGGGCTCCCAGGGTGAGAGGCACGACGCAATCTGTTGAAAGGTCTGAATCTGGAGGTTGGGTTCAGTGGGACAACTTCTAGCCTTGATCTTTGCAGGAGTCAGCATCCTCTCCGGACCACACATTTCTCCTTCTGCAAAAGAAGGGAAGGAACGGTGCTGGAGGTGGACAAGAACATCCACAGATGGGCTCCAGGGGTCCCTGCACTCCCAAAGTTGTGAGCAAGATCTTGTGTATCCATGGGTTTTTTGTTTGTTTATTAATTTGTGTTTTAGGGCAGGGAGTGGGTTGTTTTCATCAGACACTCAAAGGTTTCTCTACCAATCTGAAGAACCACCAATTTGCTAGGTTCACGATCTTTTCTAGCCCTAAAACTTTATGATTCTTTTATGCAAGGGGACTCTGTAAACTGATCCTAAAATTGTTTCCCGACCTTAGAGGTTCACTTCCAGTGTCTGTGAATGTGAAATCTCTGGCCTCTCTAATGATTTGTTTTTTCTTATGGAGGAAAAAGGAAAGAAGCAATCCCTGGGAGTCTCGGACCCTGTCGCACCACAGTGCCCCGTAGGTAGGGCGGGTGGGGAATCCGAGTGTCCGGGGGCCCCGGAGCACAGCTGCTGGCCACGGTGTGCAGGCGAACAGAGATGGCTTTCCTCCGCGTGCCAGGGCTTCAGCTCCTCCGGTCTCAGCTTGTTGACTTAGTCCCAGGGAAGGAACAAAGCTGGCCAAGTCCAATGAATGGCCGGCAGTGGAAAAGCAGTGCTGCTGTCTGCTGGCAGCCGGGCGGCCGACACCACACGTGGTCGGCGCCCCCCCAGCGGCGCTCTCCCTCCCCCGCCATGGCTGGCTTTGGCAGGCGCTGCCAGGCCTGAGAATGCAGGAAGTTTTGGGTCACGGTGACCTCTAGTTGCTGATGCCAGATGAAATATGCCCTGGAGGTTCTCCAGGGTCACATGGTGTGTGGAGCAAGAGAAGGCAGGGCTGCTCTTGCGCTGACAGAGTGGATTTTGGCTCCAACATGGCACCCCTTGGGGAGTAGGAGGGGCTGTGGGTGGGAAAGGGAGGGCGGCCGGGGTGGTGGCGTGACAGTGGGTAACAGGGAGAAGCAGTCTTGCTTTCTTTTACCCTCTTTGGCCTCCCGGGAAGCCACTTGGTCCTAGAGGTGAAGACATAGCCCCCAGTCTGTGGCACAGAAACTCAGGGAAAGGTTTCTATGTATTTTTGTTGTTTCTATGACAGGATGGGCGAGCTTCTGGCTTTGTTCATGCTGGGCCTCATAGCTGGAAAAAAGCTCTGTAATAAGTGGGGCTTGACTTGCCCCTCAGGAGCTCAACTGCTCAACGTGGAAGGAGCACGGAGCACGCCCGCCCGGGGATCTGCTCTATCTGGTCCTGGACTGGCCTTCAGCCACCATCTGGGCAAACAAGGTCCCTGCCGTTCCTCCCTGCTGAATCTCTCTTCACCTTGTTCTTACATGTTGGGTTATCTAATCCCCTTCTTCTGAACCCCAGACCCCTAGAGGAGGCACAGCTGTACCCGAACGAGGCCTCCAGCAGAAGGCCAATGACGGACACCTGTCTTCCATCCCACCTAGACCCATGGCGCCCCAATACCACCAGTCCCTTTGCCTTGACCTGGGCAGAGGGAGGGAGCTTGGCTACTTTTGCTTTCAAGAATCAGGAACAGAGGCCTAAAATGGAAACAGCTGAGAAGAAAGACGCCAAGTCAAAAACAAGATCCAGCTGGAGGAGGTCAGGCCCGATAAGCAGGCTGACCACAGACTTGAAAAAGAGGTCAGGCCCCAGGAGCTGGGCTGGAGCAGCACGCAGTGTTTTTGCCAAGGGAAGACAATGGCCTGTGAGGTAGGTGGGCTCTGCTGTCCCACCCCACACCTTCTGAGTTAGCACAGGGGAGCCTTGCTGGTGTCCCCGTTCTCTGCTGACGGCCCGAATTCCTCATCTTGGTTCAAAGGGAGATAGGAAGGGTACGGCTGGGAATCTAGAGGACAGGGGTCTATGGGGAAAATGAAACACATCATTTGAAGGCCAACTCCACCTCCAAGAGCCCTTGCCGTGTCACTCCCCATGGGTCCTGGCTTCACCTCTCTACCCTACTCATTGTACTTCATAGTTTGTGTACAGCATATGACTCAGACTGTCACAGAGCAGATTATTTGGTAATAGTAGTGACCAATATTTCTAATGTATCGCTACTAGAATTTGTTTTCTTTTTTCTTTTTTTTAATTCTTTTTTTACATTTTTTAATTGAGTTATAGTCATTTTACAATGTTGTGTTCTTTCTTTTTTTTTTAACCGAGCATGACTTTAATTTTTTAAACATCATGGTGTGAAACTAGAAATCAACCACAGAAAGAGAAATAAGAAAGAAAAAAATAAAGATTGCATGGATTCTAGTAGAAAAATTGATTGCTTTTGCAAATATGAACTCTTTTATCCTTCCTCTGTGATGACCCTGAGAATCAGCTAGAACAGTTATTGGTAATCTGCTTTAAACAGAGGCAAGGTGGGAGGGTATATAGCTCAGTGGTAGAGTGCGTGCCTAGCATGCACAAGGTCATGGGTTCAGTCCCCAGTACCTCCACTTAAAAAATAATATAAGTAAGTTGAATTACCTTCCCCCACAAAAAAATAAAAGTATATAAAATAGAGGCAAACTAGTACAAAAAGCACAGATGTTGATTCCATCAGATAAGGGTTTGAATACAAATCTTATCCCTGGGTGACCAGGTGTCCTGGTCAATCCAGGCAGCAGCTGGTGTCCCCAAGAGAGACCCGTGCCTTCTTATTTGTTAGTGGAGTCACTAGCTTCCCCCACAAGCGACATTTTTGGTAAAAGAAAATCCTGCCCTGTGCATGCAGAAAAAGATTATTTTGGAGGTGTCGTATTTTTACCAGCATGCTGAGCAAATGCCATGGTTTTCTAGCATCAAAACAAGTTTATTCCAAAGTTTCTTTTGGAAATGTGAAGGCAGTGAACTCTGCCAGTCTTCACATTACAGCTCTCCTTGGCACCTGTGCCCCTGGGTCATTACCACTCGTCTGGACACATCCCTGCACCCCTGTCCCACTTTGACTTGTCTCTCTTTTCCCTTCTGTATGTTACCCCTTCCAACCATTTGCTTTGCTCCCTTGAAGCGTGCCTGTCCATGCTGACAAACTCACATTTTTAGTCTCTTCATTGAGTTACTTCTTTATTTTCTGCCTTAACTGAAAGCTGGTCTCGCCCGGGGGTACAGCTCGTCTGGATGTGCTCTTACTTGAACTTCCCACACTGTTTTCTTAAGTCTTACCCTGAAGTTAGAGCCTTGTGAACTTTTCCTATACCCCACAGTGCTGCCTCCAAATCATTGTTCTTTCTCCTATTCCCTGTTTCTTTCAAAGAAACACAGTATTTGGCTACACCATCCAGTTCCTCCACATTCCACCCCCACCCGCACTGCCAACCATGGCCCTCTTAATCTCTCTCCCCACTCGTTGGAGACTTAGGCACACAACTGCTGTTCTCCCTCCTGCTCTAAGTCCTGCCTCTGAACTGGGTGGTCCCTATCTAGAGGGCTGTCCAACTCCTTGACTTTCACAAACTTCAGGACTTCTTCCTTTGACCATAAACCTCTTATCTTTCCATCTCTCTCCCAGTTATATATATCTATCTTCAAGTTGGTCCTGCTGATTCTAATGTTTCAGTTGACCTCATTGCCTAAATTGAGGCCCTTATCACTTCATATCTGAACAATTGCAATATTTTTCTATGTAAAATTCCTGCCTCTACTTTTTATAGTCCTGAAAGATTATTAAAGAAAAAAAAGGAATCAGATGATACCTGACTGAGGATTTTAGGCAGATGATTTCTGCCTAAAATTCTTCCATGGATCCCCAAAGCTTTCAGGATAAAGGTTAGATTTCTTAGTGGATTGCTCCCCCCTGCCCCTGATATTCTTTTTGCTTCTCTGCTTTGTCTTATTTTTACTACTCTCCTAACTTTTTACTTTTTGCCCCAGTTGGTGGGAACTATTGGCAGTCTCTCAAGTGCCAGGGTCTCTCAAAGCTCACTGCATTGGTGAATGCTGCTTTTCCTACGTGTTTCTTTTGCTGTGGCTAATTTCCGCTTGTGTTTGTTTAAAGACTCAGCTCAGGTACCATCTCTTGCAGGAATGTTTTTTCCTGATGCTCGTGGGATAGTTTGGTTTTTCCTCTGAGTTTCTAGATCACCTCACATCATGGTTCTGAACTTCATTTTGCCCCTAAACAACTAGACCCCAGAGTTGGTAAACTATGGCCCATGGACCAAATCTGGCATCTCAGTTGTTTTTGTAAATAAAGTTTTATTGGAACACAGGCACACTCATTCATGTATATATTCTCCATGGCTGTCTTGAGATTATAAGAGCAGAAGTGGTTGGTTGTGACAGTCTCCACAGTCCACATAACCAAAATATTTATCACCTGGCCCTTTGCAGAAAATGTTTGCAGACCCTGACCTTGCATCAGTTACTGTACTTCACTATAGTTGGATTCGCAGTCAGAGACGCCCATGCCTGGAAGGAGGAAGTGGATTGAGATCTTGCAGAGGATGTGTGGCAAGGGAAAGGGGTAGTGGGATGACTCAGATACATAAAGTAAGGGATCATGTCCCCACCCCACTGATAATGTTGTAATAGTCTATGTCCACACACATGTCCTTATGTAATACCTCTTAAGACTGTCATAAGGCAGGGACTGTGTGCTTTTCATCTCTGTGTCTTTCTTGCCTAGCACAGTAACAAGTCATTAGAAAGCTAATAAAGAAAAGGCAAGCTTAAGCAGAAAGACTTTTTGAAGGATCCTGGGATATGCTCATGGAGTCTAAGGTGGGTGACCAGAGAAAGACACAACAGTGGAGCAGACAGATGACTGCCATCAGGATCTGGTCTCTGTCTCATATCTCTGCTGTTCTCCACTGTGCCAGCTTCATGTTTCCCTTTCTCTGTGGACTTCTACCAGCTGGCAAAAATCATAGCCCACCTCAGCTCATTGGTATTTCACCTTATAGTTCCCAGCCATTGACCAGACTTTATTTTGATTTTCTCTTAGTCCCAAATCCCAAAATACTAAGTTAGTTGACCATCACTTGTGGTCAGAGAGTAGGGTTGGGTGAGAAAATGAAAGTTTGAATGATAGATAGATAGATAGATAGACAGACAGACAGACAGGCTGGAGAAAGGGGATGATCCCAAAATAAAAGTGGCACTGTTCAGATGAAGGGGTGCTGGACAGATAAAGCAGTAGTTACCTCCCATAGCAGCTCCCGGTAGGTTCCCCCTGAAGTAGCACCTGATTCGTGCCCCACTCTGTAGCTGCTTAACCAACATATGTTGACTCAATAAATGAATGACTTAACAAAATGAATAAGGAGTTAACCTCTCTGGGTCCCTTCTTCCTCTGCAAGATGAGAATAATTTTTATCTCACAGGCTTGTGTTGAGAATAAAGTGCTTACACAATACTCGGCAGACAGCAGACACTCAGTACATGCTGTCTACATTTTCAGTCCCTCGTCTGAGTTGGAATT